CTGTGCCTGCCCGCGAGGGCGAGGCTGGGGCCCCTGTTGGGGGTGCCGCGGGCTCTGGGGAGCCCGCGGTGGCGGAGAGGTGTCGCGCGCCTGGGGGACACGACGTCACCGCCACGGGTACGGTCGTCTGGTGTCGGCGGTGCGGGGCCTACGGGTCCGTCAGGGTGGGGAAGGCCTTCAGCTCCCCCTGTCCTGACCCCAAAGACTTGCCCAAGAGCAGGAGGTCAGTCCTCAGTGCTCTCTCGAGAGGCAAGCACCCCAAGACTGGGAAGTCCCTCACTGGGTGACTGACGGCTTGGGGGTTTAAGTTTCCCTCTTAGAGTGGTGTCTGTGAGCAGACCCTTTCTCTTCAGTGCTTCCCTGCGTCCCTCCTGCTCTGCCTCCTCCTCCTCCTCCTCCGCCTCCTCCCTTCTCGTCCTCCTACTCGTCCTTCTCCTCTTCCTCCTCCTCCTCCTTCTCTTCCGCCCGCCCGCCCGACGGTCTTGTTTGAGCAGCCTGCGGTGAAGCGTGTTTTCTTGAGGCCGCTGGCCTGGTCAGCACAGTGTCTTGTAAGATGCGTCGTTGGCCCTTCGCGCCAGCGCGCTGGGCCCGCAAATCAGATGCGGTGCCGGCGCAGAACCTTCAAATCCGACAGCGGTCGAATGATGCCGAGGTCACCGCACAGTGTGCCACAGCACCGCTTGTTTCACCCCCAGATGGCGGCGACCGACAGGACAGTGGTCGACGGTCGACGGGCGGGCCCAGCACGGGCATGCCTCGCTCCAGAGCGTTTCGGAGCGCTCTGGGATGGCTGCTGCACCCGAGTGCGTCCTCCGGCCCTGCCAGATCTCGGTCAGAGATCTCGGATGAGCGACGCAGACCCTCAAGCAGTGGCGAAGCGTCCGTGCTCGCCTATAGGCCTACCAAACACTGTTCTAAGAACCTTTTTAGTGGTTTCCACGAACTGTTCTTTGAACATTTCTGGCTTGGGCTGTCTTGTTTTCACACATAAGGCTTAAGTTCTAAGAACATTGCTTTGTTATTAGAACAGTTTGGGTTCTAAGAACATTTCGTGGTAGGACTATAGGAATGCCGGGACGGTCGGTCCCTGCTCAAGGCACGGGCTCGACGGTGCCGACATTCGCACGCAAGTTGTCCGCGTAAGGTCGCGTGTAAGCGCCCTCGTCGCCAATGCAGCGTGCCGCGCTGGCGGCCCGCGTAAGCAGCGGCGCGAGGTCGCTACGTCATCTCGCATAGGACAATTTCGTTTCGTCGCCCAGATGTGTCGTAGTCCGGTTGTGTCCTAGCTTCGTCTTGTCGTAGGAACGCAAGGCTCGAGTCCGTCGGAGCTCGAACTTGCCGTCACCTGTTGACGGCCTGTCTCTGAAGTGCGATGGCCCAGTTTCCGCGGGATGTTTGCAGCGGGAGCTTGCTTGCCGTCAAAGTTCAGGCAGGGCCTCATCATTTCCTTGGCGGCCCTGTCGGGCCGACGCTCGGGGAATAGAAGAATGCCATCAAGGTAAACTGGTGGAGATCCGCTTGACTTTGTCGCATCGGGGCTGGAGACCCCATGGCAGCTCCAGACCTCCGAAAGTTTACGTTTCCCCGTCAGGTTGTTCTTGTGAGACTCTTGAACCTCACCGAAAGCATGTCTGCTGGCCTTCAGCAGCCACTGGCGGCGAAGAGGGTGTGACTTGGTGGAGAGTCGGCGCGGGGCGTGCGCCGCCATTTGCTACTGACCCGTTGCCGCTATTTTGCCGCTCGTCCGTCGTCATCCTGACCAAGATTCGAGCAGGGGATCGACTACAGAACTCAGTCGCCCCAGAATGAATTTGCGCATCGAGCCCACGAGAGACAATGCGCAGGGCAGTCCACAGAGCTGCGGAGCATTGCAGGTGCGCTTCGCAGGCTCGACAGCACATCCACTTCGGGGCATGTCGCTTGTGTCGTCGATCTCCTGCTCTGAAGGCAGGCCCCTCCCCCCGGCCCCCAAAAAAACGGAGGGGGGAGGGGGAGGGGGAGTGGGAGGGGGAGGGGGAGGGGGAGGAGGAGGAGGAGGAGGAGGAGGAGGAGGAGGAGGAGGAGGGAGGAGGAGGGAGGAGGAGGAGGAGGAGGGGAGGAGGAGGGAGGAGGAGGAGGAGGAGGAGGAGGAGGAGGAGGAGGAGGAGGAGGAGGAGGAGGAGGAGGAGGAGGAGGAGGAGGAGGAGCGTCATTCCCCACAGACGCTTCGGTCGACGGCGGCCGACCAGGCGACGGCCGAGCCCGGCGGGCGGGGGGCGGCGACGGACGGCGGGCGCCCCCCACAGGCCGGGGTGCGCCCGGCGCTCCGCGCACGCGGCCGCGCGCAGCGTCGGCCCGCCCACGCCGGGTTTCGGTCGGGCCCGTCCCTCCGCAGGTCAGGAGGGGAAAAAACACACAGACACAATTAATCTTCGATTCCCAGGAAAATATGGGAAAATATGGGAAGTGGGGGGGAAGACAGAAACCCAGAAAATATGGGAAAATATGGGGAATCTTTTTATTTGTGTGTATTTATTTGTGTGTCCTAATTTCCCTTTAGCAGGGGGAGCATGCAAGAATCGTGCAAACATGGTCTGGGGACTCCTGTCGGATTCTTTCTGGACCAATTTGGGGGTATTTTCTTGTATTGTGAATGTTTCGTCGACAGTGCCCCTGTAGGGGGACACGCCCGACCGAACGCTAGGTTCGCGTCGTGTCGTCCGGTGGCGACCCCGCCGCCTGCGTTCAATGTTGGACGCCGCCAGCGCCCCAGGAACGGTCGATCTGGAACGATCTGACGTTTCGGGAACGGCTGATCGTTCAAGGTTGAACGATCCCCGCGGTGTCAGGAACCAACGCCAGGGTCGACACGACACGATCCTGCCGCAGCAAGGGTGAGCAGTTTTCCAAGGCTGCCCCTGCAGCCGTTTCCCTCGGCCAATCCTTGGCACCGTTCGCTGGCCGCGTCCCGCTCGCGAAGTGTGGACATGGCCTCCCAAGCCCCTCGCATCGTTATCGCGCATCCTTATGATACTGGCCGGCTGTAAAAGTGACCCTTCAACTGAGTGACCTTTGGTGCGGGCACACAGGGGTCCCCTCAGCAGTGGCTGCCGCGCTTGGATTTACCCCCCCTCGCGGTCCCCTGAAGCTGCGCACCAAAGGTCACTCCTGTCTAGGGTCGCTCTTGCGTGTAGTCGACTCTCGATGAGTGTATTGGTCCTATCAGGGGCAACTTCAGGGCGAGGTCGAGGATCGACTTCCGGGTTCGAGGGTCGAGGCTTTGTCGAGCATTTTCAAGCCACGGGGTGCTCTCCAGCAGCTGCGCCTCGCCGAGAGCGTTCCAGTGGTGCCCGGATCGTCCCCAACGGCCGCGTCAGGCCCGACTTATCGATGTGGAGCACATGCTTCCCCACGCCGATGTCGCCAGTGCATGGCCGACGACGCAGGTGCATCGCCGATGCATCGGCGATGCACTGGCGATGCGGTGCGGTCGCCCGACCCCTATCTGCCCGGACCCTATCTATCAGGAGGGGAAAAAACACACAGACACAATTAATCTTCGATTCCCAGGGAAATATGGGAAAATATGGGAAGTGGGGGGGAAGACAGAAACACAGAAAATATGGGAAAATATGGGGAATCTTTTTATTTGTGTGTATTTATGTGTGTGTCCTAATTTCCCTTTAATCTAAGGGGTCCCCTTGGATTTATGACCCGATAACTACCTGTGGATTGGCTCAGGGGGGCACCGCATCGACCACTACGGCCCAGTCCTCGCCGATGTTGGCCTCACACAGTCAACCCACACAGTAAGGATGGGCAACTTTCCCAAGGGCACCCCTGCATCCTTGCCTCCGCGGTCCATCCTTCGCAGCTTTCGTTGGCCGCTCCCCGCTCGAAAACCTTCGAGATGTTGCGTCCAAGGCCCTTGCATCATTATCGCACACTCTTACGATGCGGGTTGGCTGCAGCCCGCCCCACCCATGAACTTGCGGCTCTGCTGCCGAGAGCCTGTCGCCGAGCTATCGGCGATGTGTTGCCGATTCCAGCTCGATGCTGCCCTCTGAGGCGATCCCCTCCGATGGTTCCCCCTCGAGATAGCCGCGCGCCGCGCGCCGCGGCTTGCTCTGCACTGCAGGGCCGCCCTGTCTAAGGGGGCCCTCGACGGTCGGAGGTTGATAGACCTCCTGCCCCGACACGCCGACTAGCGAATTGGCCGTTTTCGGTTCGCCAGAGGGCGTCGCGGCCTCCATTTTTGCGGGTCCAGGTCCGTCGGTTTCGGCCCTGGACCGTTTTCATATTAAAGGGTGGTTTATGAAACGGAGTCTTGTCCACCGCCGAGAGGGGGCGCGAAGGTGCGCTCGCGTCGCGCGTTCGCGGGGCGCGACGCGCGAGTCTGGGCGGACCCCGTTGCCGTCCGTCGGCAACGGCGTCGGGGACTTCTTCGCTGTTGCCGCGACGGCAGCGACGACGTTCGCAGAGCACCGCCGTGCCTCTCCACATTTCCATGCCGTCCCCACTTGGTTGCAACTGCCCTGGCACTTTCTCGGTGCGGATCTAGCCCAATCTGATTGAGGCCAGCCTAGCACGGCGCAAGCTTCCGCAGCCCTGGCTTATCTGGCTGAATCAATTGCTGGATTTGGCGCGATAGTTTGTCTAATGCCGCTTCATAGCTCCTAAATCGTGCCCGCGAAGACCTACCAGCAGTTGCCAGCCACTACCCCCCTTCCCAAGATCATCCTGCCCCTCAAATTCCCTGACCCTCTGCCTCGCCACCTCATCCCCCCTCCTCTCGCTCCCCCTCCACCGCCTCCCCCTCCACCCTTTCTCCCCTCGCGTGGCCTTTCTCTCCCCTCATCTCCCCTCCTTCCATCCTCCCTCCCTCCTGCCCCCCTCCTCACTGACGGCGCTGCGGAGCGTGACTGCCGAGCCAACCCGACCTCTCCTCGCCATTGCCGCCGCTGCAGCCACTGCTGCCGCGACGACAGCGCAGGGGAACGGGGGGCAACGCCCTTGGGCAGGTACGTCGGCATCTCCACCACGCCGCCCCACCGCCATGCGGCCGCCGCCTCCGCCGACCCGAGGAGGTCCACGCAGACCGCAGGCGCCCCCCCCCCAACGGCCCCGCTGGCGGCCTGCTGGCCCCCCCGCCCTGCCCCGCTCGGCGAGGCCTGCTGCCGCGGACCCTGGCCAGCGACGAACGCCCGAGCCGGAAGAGATCGAAACACAGGAGACGGCATCGACATCATTTCTGAGTTCTGCGCGAATTTCTGGCATCGGCGTTGGCCCCCCCCCCTGTCGGCGCCTCGGGTGCCGCCCCCGGTGCGCTGCGCGCAGCAGGGAGGGGGGGCCCAGCGCCGCGCCCGAACATCGGGGGAAGGAGAAGCGACACCACCACCACCACCACCACCACCACCACCACCACCACCACCACCACCACCACCACCACCACCACCACCAGGGCGGGCACACTCGGCGAGGAGGTCCACGATGCCTCCCCGAGCTGGGGATGGGGGGGTCTCGAGCGAGAGAGGGGGGGGGGGCACACCACGAAGGCCCCCCCTCCTGGCTCCTCCCGCTGGTGGTCCCTGGTGGTGGTTCTGTCGCTTTTATCGATTCCTACGAAAGGGGACAAATAACTAGGAACGTTGAGCTGGTAGCTCTCCGTGGGCGGAGCGCGCAGCGGGGATTCCTGCCTGATTTTCGCGATGGTGCCCTGCACACGTGCCCTGGACACGCTCTGACTTTACTCCTAGATCCAACTCTGGTGTGCGCGTCGCAGTGCGCTGCCAGTACGGCCCTATGTGGGGCCTCTGAGGCAAATGGTTGCGGAGGTGGGGAAACGCTGCTTCAATCCCTCCTATCCCGCCTGGCCTGCTCTTGCGAAGGTGCCCTGGCCACACGGACTACCAGACCTGATGGCGCGGTCCTCGTGGGGGCGTCGCGTGGAGCGCGCAGCCTGCCTCTGAGCAGCGTCACTCGGCAGGGTGGCACGGTGGGCCCGCGCCGCAGCGAGCCTTGGCACGGTTGCCCGCGCCGAGCTTGGCGCTGCGGCAGCCTTGCTCGCGCGGGCGCTCCACAGGCTGAGCTTCGCGCACTGGCCGCCTGAGAGCTCGGCCGGTGGGGAGCGACCTCGGCCGATGGGAGGGCGGCGACGGGTCCGAGGCTGAACATCGAAGAGGAAGAATAGTAATAATAGCTGTGCAAATCAGCACGAGCATATAGTCGCGGAGGTCCGCGCCGGTTTCTTGGATCTGCTCTGGACTCCCTTCCTTGGCGCGCGGAGCGCGCTGGGTGGCTCCAGCGCAGATCCAGGACATCCGCGCCGACCTCGGGGAGTTTGTGTTTTGTATGTTTCCTGCTCCTCTTAGGCCGTGGGCCAAGGGGCTCCGGCGCAGACCCGGGAGCTCTGCGCTGTCTGAGCATTTTCTGAGGGTGGAGGGCTCAGAGTGAAATCCATATGGGCTTTTGCACCTCGAACATCAATCCGTCTTGTGATTCACCTTTTGCAGGTTCAAGCATCGAAAACCCATCGGAACTGCATTTCAGATTTCACCCTTTGCCCTCCACCCAAAGAACATGCTCGGGCTGTGACCTCGGACAGCTTGCGGCGGCGGCTTTGGATAAGGAACGTCCTGGGGCCCAGACCTTGGCGCGTGCCTTCTTGCTTCAAGGCGGGGTGGGTGGTCCACGTTTGGCCGCCCTTCGGCCGCGAGACCCTGGCGCGCTTATCGAAGGCAGTTCTATCTAAAACCTCCACCGCGTGCTTGCATGTTCTGCGTTTCTCGATCGGAACGCCGGAGGCCAGCGCCTTTGTCGTCGTGGCGCGGGCCTGCCGAGTCGGGTGCGGGTGCCACCACGAGGCGGAGCACACCTTGCCGCGCGACAGCTGCTGCTGCTGCTGCTGCTGCTGCTGCCCGCTGCTGCCCACAGTCTCGGGCCGGCCCCGCGCCCTTCGCCTCCGCCCATGCCCATTTGGCCCAAGGCCGGGCCTGCAGAGGAGCAGTGACGAGGAAGGAGGGAAGAAGGACAAAAACCGAAGGAGGAGGCAGAGAGAGGGGGGTACTGGCAGAGAGCAGGAGGGAGGGCGGAGGAAGGTACTGGCAGAGGGGGGAGGGAGAGAGAGAGAGAGAGAGGGGGGGGAGGGGGGGATCGAGGGATGAGGTGCTGGCAGAGAGTAGGATAAGGAGGAGCAGCTGGAGAAGCTGGGGGAGGGAGCAGGGGGAGCGGGAGGAGGAAGCAGTCCAACCGAGGAGGATGAGGAGGAGGAGGAGGAGGAGGAGGACCGAGGCGGAGGAGGAGGAGGAGGAGGAGGAGGAGGAGGACGACGACGAGAAGGAGGAGGAGGAGGAGGAGGAGGAGCAGGAGGAGGCGGAGGAGGAGGAGGAGGAGGCGAATGAGGAGGAGGAGGAGGACCGAGGCGGAGGAGGAGGAGGGAGGGAGGAGGAGAGGAGGAGGAGGAGGAGCAGGAAGAGGATGAGAAAGAGGATGAGGATGAGGAGGAGGAGGAGGAAGAAGAAGAAGAAGAGGAGGAGGAGGAGGAGGAGCAAGCAGTCCGACCAAGGGGGGGAAGGAGGAAAAGGAGCAGAGGAAAGAAGGAGAAGAAAGGAGGAGGAAGGTGCAATGACGAAGGAGGAGTGGCTCGGACGAGGACGAGTAATGCGTGAGGAAGGGAGGGGAGGGAGGATCTGGATCTGGTGGCATGATGATGGAGGGGTGGGAGGGAAGATAACCACGTGTGAGGCACGGTGGAGTTTTCGCTGGCCCGCACTCCCTTGTGACATCCGCTTAACAGGAATACTTGATACAGTCAAGCGCCGTTGTAAATCTGCAGTCCAGGAGGCGCACCCAAAGGGACCTGTATGACAGCAGGCATCCAACGAAACTGTATGGTTCCCCTGTTTCCTTTTAGGCGCTTTGATGGCCATTTGTTGAAGGAACGTGTGACACATTGCCTTTTGTCACACATTCTGTTACCAGCGTTGACCCCAAACAGTGACCTGGCGCACCGATGATGTGCAATCTATGGTGGTGGAAGGTTGAAGGTATTTGGTGCAGGCGATGTGAAGCAAGTGTGCCAAGTCGAGCATGGTACGCTGGTCTCGGGCAGGGCGCTTGCGCCCATGTTTCCGAGGCGGGGATTGATCAAAAGCCACCGCCCCGGGGATAGATCTATCCGGGGGCTTCGTCAGACGGTGTGATACGTACAGGCGATGTGAGTATACATATATATATATATATATATACACATGTGCGCATGAATCACGTATTTGCATCAAAATATGGATCTACTGACTTGGGCCGTAGATGGGCCAGCCATGTTCCACCGCCTGCAGAGGCTCTGAAGATCGATCCCCCAGGTGGTGGTCATGGAGTAGGGGGGGGGCTGGGGGCCAGAAGCGCATTCGCTTGCTGGCCGAGATGGAGCAGGCGTGATCGGCCTCATGTTGGCGCGGCCTCGTCGCAACGTCCCCTGCGATTCGACGCTGGAGCAAAAACTGCAACATCTCGAAAGAGCACTAGAGGAGGAGGAGGAGGAGGAGGAGGAGGAGGAGCAGGAGGAGGAGGAGCAGGAGGAGGAGGAGGAGGCGTAGGAGGTGGAGGAGGAGGAGGCGGAGGAGGCATTTCCCGAGCCAGATCACTCCGTGACGGTTCCAGGGTCCGAGGCACGGCAGAGCCGCATCTCGAGGCCGTGCGGGAGCAGCCTCTTTTCGCAGCGTTCGCGGACCTCGTGAGGGTTTCGCTGCCTTGCAGCGCCTGCGCCGCCCCCGCCCCCCAGTGACCTTGTTTTTCTTCGGAGGTTGATCGACCTCCTACCCTGACACGTCGATTAGCGAATTGGCCGGTTTCGGTTCGCGAGAGGGTGTCGCGGCCGTCATTGCTGCGGGTCCAGGTCCGTCGGTTTCGGTCCTAGGCCGTTTTCACTAAAAGGCGGTTGATTAAATCGAGATTTGTCCACCGCCGATTTCTCTCCCCGACAGTTATTTGACGGCGGCTTCTGGTTGCGGCGGGCTCGCGAATTGCGACCGGAGTCTGCACGCAGAGTTGGTGTTCTTGCTTGAGGCACCGACGGTTGTCACGTGCACATGTTCTGATATTTTGGGCCCTCCGGACCGCTCAGCGATCAGCGACATCCCAGGTCACCCTATGATGATGTCTGCACTAGAGAAGCAGTTGTTTGACGACCCCGAGGCTCGGTGAGGGCCCCCAGACGCCGAAAACGACGAAATTCCTTCCGTCTTACTGTTTGTTTGCAACGCGTTGGAGGTCTGGCTTACCGCCTCGCAGCGTCTGCGCCGCGCCACCTCCAGGCGCGCTGAAGCAGGGATCGTTTGAAACACCGACTGCGAAACAGAGCAGGACAGAGACGTGAAAGACAAAGACGCCAGGGAGGGGGGAAGGAGAAGGATGGCATAATGTAGAGGGAGGGAGGGAGGGTGTTGCTGATATCGACCATGTTGCCCGCAATCGTGATGGCCGACCCCCTCTTGCTGCTCGCCGTCGTGATGCTGGTCGAAGGCGTACTGCTCGCTGCCCTTCACGTCTCGCTCGTGGGCGTCAGGCTGGATCGGCTACCCGTCGTGCTGCCCAGCGTCGTGCTGCTCCTCGTCGTGGTGGCCCCGAGCGCTCTGCTGCACGGCGCACCGCACTGGCTCCCTGCACAGCTCGCTGCGCCGTGGTGCTCGACTCCGCCGTGCTGCTCCTCGTCGTATGGTGGTGTCTCCTGGGCGCGCTGCTGCACGGCGTGCTACTCCCGGCACCGCTCGCTGCGCTCATCGGCGCGCGGAGGGTTCCCGCCACGCGGCGCACGCCCCTGCCGGCGCGCGCGAATAGAGGTGGGACGAGGGCGGCAGGATCGAGGAGGAGGACCCAGAAGGACCGAGGAGGCGGAGGAGGACCGAGGTGGAGGAGGAGGACCGAGGAGGAGGAAGAGGAGGAGGAGGAGGAGGAGGAGGAGGAGGAGGAGGAGGAGGAGGAGGAGGAGGAGGAGGAGGAGGAGGAGGAGGAGGAGGAGGAGGAGGAGGAGGAGGAGGAGGAGGACAGGAGGAGACGGAGGAGGAGGAGGCTCCGTCAGTACGACCGTCAAGCATCCAGGAACCAGGAACCAGGAGGAGGAGGAGGAGTAGGAGGAGGGGGAGGAGGAGGAGGAGGAAATGGAGGAGGACGAGGAGGAGGAGGCGGAGGAGGAGGAGGAGGAGGAGGAAGATGAGGAAGAGGATGAGGAAGAGGACCCCCGCCCCAGGCACACCGTCGGCCTCCAGTGCGGGCAGCCGCCCCCCCCCGCGAGCTCGCAGGGGCTCCCCCCCGCTGGGCCAGGCGGCCAGGACGGGGCTGGGCGGTGCCACACACCCTGGGGGGGGCCGATCCTCGGCATGCATCGCCAATGCATCGCCGGCGTCTCCGAGGCATCGCCGATGCATCGGCGATGCACCGCCGATGCGGCACGATCCTCCGACTCCAGCTACTCGGATTCCATCTAGGATGCCTCTATGTCTGTTCCATGCGCGGCCGATGGTCTTCACCTCGGGGTTGGCGCTTCGGCCCGTGCGGCACAGCGCTGCGTAGCAGTGCGGCGGCGGTCTGCACCCCTCTCGGCTGGGCTTTGCGGAGCTGCTTCGCCACCTCCTTTTATATTAGCTGGCTCGTACTGCTAACGGAACGCGTGCGGGCCAACGACAACAGCATCGAAACATGTACAAGGCGATGTTGTCATGGAACTCGTCGTTTGTTTATTCCTTGTTTTGCCGATTGGCGCGGGCCCTCGCACCCCCCCTTCCCCCCCCCTTGGAGTGGATCTTGGCTGTTTTTGGTTTGGTGCCTGTTTCGAGCAGGTGGAGTCCCTCCCCCATAGGACGCACTGCTGCAAACAGTCGCACTAAGCAGAGGTCCAGAGCCAGGCCCCCCCCTCCCCCCCCTCTTCGCTCAATGTCGAAACACCGAATAAGAAAACGCTCACAAACGACAGTTCGCGGTCCCAGAGGTCTCGACCCACCCTATGGGGCAAACTGTTTGTCCCCCATCCTGCTTCGACGGCCCTGGGGCCCGACAGGGCACTCGGGGCCAAAATTATCCTCTGAGGTCAGGATCACCCTTGTCCGCGCTGGCGCCGGCGTCATCGCTTCACCCAGGAGGAAAAAGCAATGACGGTCCCGCGGCGGGACAGCTTGCCGATTGCACAGTCGCATCCTGAACGTCGGCGTCGCGTCATTGGTCGAACCGTCAGATGTCTGGGCGGCCCCAGCCGTCCAGACCCTGCCAATGGGGCCAACCTTTCGCCCCAGATCCGTTTTCAGTGGCCCGGGAGCTCTATAACGGGCCTCAGTGGGCGAATTCGTGAACAAACGCGACAGTCGAAGAAAACCGATAGTCTGAGACATCAAGGAAAAACGAGACCGAAGATTGGAACAATCACATCTTCGGAGATCAGGGTCTCGGAAATGTCGAACCACCGGATGGCTAGGTCGGGGCGGCGGCGGCGGCAGCGGCCGCGCTGTCGTCGTCGTCGTCGTCGTCGTCGTCGTCGTCGACGTCGTGGTCGTCGTCGTCGTCGTTGTCGTCGTCGTCGTCGTGGTCGTCGTCGTCGCAGTCGTCGTTGTCGTCGTCGTCGTCGTCGTGGTCGTCGTCGTCGTAGTCATCGTCGTCGTCGTCGTCGTCGTCGTCGCGGTCGTCTCATGACGTCGTCGTCGTCGTGGTCGTCGGTGTGGTCGTCGTGGCCTTGGTGGTCATAGTCGTCGTCGTTGTTGTCGTCGTCTTTGTCGTCGTCGTCGTTGTGGTCGTCGTCGTCGCTGCCGTCGTCGTCGTCGACGGTGTCTTCGTCGTGGTTGTGGTCGTCGCCGTCGTGGTCGTCGTCGTCGAAGCCATCGGCGGCTTCGGCATTGTCGTCGTGGTCGTGGTCGTCGTCGTGGTCGTCGTCGTCGTGGTCGTGGGCGTCATCGCCGCCTGACCGTCGTCAACGTCGTCATGGTCGTCGGTTTCGTCGTCATGATCGTCGTCGCAGTCGTCCTCGTCCTCCCCAGCGTCACCATGGACGTCGTGGTCGTGGTCGTCGTTTTGGCCGCCGTCGTCGTCATCGTCGTCGTGATCGTTGTCGTCGTGGTTGTCGAGTTCGTCGTCGTGGTCGTCGTCTTCGCTGTCGTCGTGACGTCGCAGTCGTTATCGTCGTTGTCGTCGTGGTCGTGGTCGTCGTTATCGTCGTCGTGGTGGCCGTGGTCGTCGTCGTCCACGTGGTCGTCGTCGTCGTCGCTGCCGTCGTCGTCAACTTTGTCGTCGATGTCATCGTCGTTGTCGTCGTCGTCGTGTTCATGATCGTCGTCGTCGTCGTGATCGTCGTGATCGTAGTCGTGGTCGTTGTTGTCATGGTCGCCTCCATTCTGGTCGAGCTCGTGGTCGTCGTCGTTGTCGTCATAGTGGTCGTGGGTCATCGCCATCGTCGTCGTCGTGGTCATCGTGTCGCGGTCGTCGCCGTCGTCGTCGTCGTCGTCGTCATGGTCGTCGTCATGATCGCCGGCGCGGTCGTCGTCGTGGTCGATTTCACCATCGTCGTCGTCGTGGTCGTGGTCGTCGTCGTGGTCGTCGACGTCGTGGTCGTGACTGTGGTCGCCGCCGTCGTGATCGTCATTGTCGTCGTCGTAGTCGTCGTCGTCGTTAACGTCGTCGTCGTGTTGTTCCGTGTTGTGGTCGTCGTCGTCGTCGTCGTCGTCACTGCGGTCGTCGTCGTCGTCGTTGTCGTCATGGTGGTCGTCGTTGTTGTCGCCGTCATGGTTGTCGTCTTTGTCGACATTGTCGTCGTTATCGTTGTCACTGTTGTCGTCGTCGTTGTCATCGTCGCTGTTGTGGTTGTGATCGTCGCCGTGTCAGCTTTGTGGTCGTGGCCGACGTCGTGGTCGTCGTCGTGGTCGTGGTCGTCACTGTCGTGGTCGTGATCGTGGTCGTCGTCATCGTCGTCGTCGAGGCCGCGATCGACGTCGTCGTGGTCGTCGTGGTCGTCGTCGCGCTGGTCGTGGTCGTGGTTGTCGTCGTTGTCAAGGTCGTGGTCGTCATCGTGCTCGTGGTCGTCGTCGTCGTCGTCGTGGTCGTCGTCGTCGTAGTCGTCGTCTTCGTCGTTGTCGTGTTGGGTGGTGGTGGGTCTTCGTCGTAGTCGTCATTGTTGCCACCGTTGCCGTCGTCGTCGTCATCGGTGTTGTTACGGGGTTGTCGTCGCGGTCGCCATCGCCGTCGACGTCGTGGTCGTGTACGTTGTCGTCATCGTCGCTTTCGTCTCAGTCGTCGTTGCCGCTGTTGCCGTTGTCGTCGTCATCGTCGTTGTTCTCGTGGTCATCGTCGCAGTTGTCGTCGTTGTGGACGTCGTCGTCGTGGGCGTTGTCGTCATCGTCGCCGTCGTCGTGGTCGCTGCTGTATTCGTGGTAGTCGTCGTCGTCGTCGTGGTCGTGGTCGCTGTCGTCCTCGACGCCAGCGTCGTGGTCGTCGCCGTCGTCGCCGCCGTCGTCGCCATCAGGGTCGTGGTGGTCGTTGTCTGTTTCGTCTTTGTCGGCGTCGTAGCCGCCGCGATTGTGGTCGTTTGTGGTCGTCGCTGTCATCGTTGCAGTCGTCTTCGTCGTCGTGATCGTCGCGTCGTGGTCGTCGTTGCAGTCGTCGCGGTCGTGGTCGTCGTCATCGCAGTCGTGGTCGTGGTCGCGGTCGTCGTCGTCGTGCTCGTGGTCGTAGTCGTTGGCATCGTCGTTGTTGTAGTCGTGGTCGTCGTCTTCGTCGTCGCGTTCGAGGTCGTGGTCGTCGTGGTCGTCGTCATTGTCGTGGTCGTCGTGGTCGTGGTCGTGGTCGTGGTCGTGGTCGTCATCGTCGTCAAAGTGGTCTTCGTCGCCGTCGACGTCATTAGTGTCGCCGTTATCGTGGTCGTCGCCGTCGTCGTGGTCGTCGTGGTCGTGGTCGTCGTCGTGGTCGTGGTCGTCGTCGCCGTGGTCGTCGTCGTCGTTGTTGTCGTTGTGATCGTCGTCGCCATGGCCGTCGGCGTCGACGTCGTCGTCGTGGTCGTCGTCGTTGTCGCGGTTGTGGTTGTCATCGTCGTCGTGGTCGTCGTCGTCGTCGACGTCGTCGCCGTCGGCGTGGTTGTGGTCGTAAATGTGGTCGCTCCGTCGTGGTCATGCTTGTGGTCGTTGTCGTTGTGGCCGTCGTCGTGGTGGTTGTCGTCGTCTTTGTCCTCGTCGTCGTCGTCGTCGGCGTGGTCGTTGTCCTGGTTGTGTTCGTCGTCGTCGTGGTCGTTGTCGTGGTTGTCGTCGTCGTCGTCGTCGTGGTCGTGATGGTCGTCACCGTCGTGGTCGTCGTCGTCGTGGTCGTCTCGGTCATGGTCGTCGGTGGTCGTCTTGCTCGTCGGTGTGGTCGTTGTCGTCGTCATTGTCGTCGTCGCCGTCGTCACGGTCATGGTTTTCGTGGCCGTCGTCGTCGTGGTCGTGGTCGTGGTCGTGGCGGTCGTCATCGTGGTCGTCGTCCTCGTCGTCGTCGTAGTAATTGCCGTCGTCGTTGTCGTCGTCGTCGTGGTCGTGGTGGTGGTGGTCGTCGTCGTTGTGGTCGTGGTCGTCGTCGTGGCCGTGATGGTCGTCGTCGTCGTCGTGGTCGTTGTCGTCGTTGTGGTCGTGGTCGTCGTCGTCGTCGTAGTCGTGGGCGTCGTCGCGGTCGTCGTCGTGGTCGTCGTTCAGCCGAGCGGCGCTGGGCCGCGATCGCGCTGCAGGACCGGCGAGGCTCTCCAGAGCATGACGTGCCCATCGTGGTCGTGGTCGTCGCTATGGTCGTCGTCGTCGTCGTGGTCGTTGTTGTCGCCGTCGTCCTGGTCGTCATTGTCGTCGTGGACGTGGTTTTGGATATCGTCGTCGTCGTGGTCGTCGTTGTCGCCGTCGCGGTCGTGGTCGTCGTCGTCGCCGTCGTCGTGGTAATGGTCGTCGTCTTCGTCGTCGTCGTGGTCATCGTCGTACGAGCAATGCTCAGCGGAGAAATTCAAAAAAGTCGTGGTCATCGTCGTCGTCGTCGAGGTCGGGGTCGTCGTCGTGTTCGTGGCCGTGGTCGTCGTAATCGCCATCGTGGTCGTGTTTCTCGTCGTCGTTTTTTTGCCGTAGTCGTCGTCGTCGTCGTCGTCGTCGTCGTCATGGTCGTCATCATCGTCGTTGCCGTCGTTGTCATCGGCATATTCCTTGTTATCGTCGTTGTCGTTGTCGTCGCCGTCGTGGTCGTCGTGGTCGTCGTGGTCGAGGTCGTCGTCGTTGTTATCGTCGTGGTCGTTGTCTTTGTCATCGTCGTCGTCGTGGTCGTCGTCGACCTCGTGGTCTTTGTGGTCGAGGTCGTTGTAGTCGTGCTCCTGTTTGTGGTCGTCGTGGTTGTCGTGGTCGCGGTCGTCGTCGTCGTTGTCGTCGCCAGCGTGGTCGTGGTCTTCGTTGTCATCGTGGTCGTGGTAGTCGTCGTCGTTTTCAAAGTCGTGGTCGTCATCGTGCTCGTGGTCGTCGTCGTCGTCGTGGTTGAGGGCGTCGTGGTCGTTGTCGTGATCGTCGTTTTCGTCGTGGGCGTTGTCGTCTTATTCGCCGTGGTCGTCGTCGTGGTCTTGGTCGTCGTGGTCGTCGTGGCCGTTGTCGTAGTCGTCGTCTTCGTGGCCAATGTCGTCGTGGACGTGGTCGTGGTCGTTGTCGTCGTTGTGGTCGGTCGTCGTCATCGGCGTGGTTATTTGTCGTCGTTGTCGTTCTCGTAGTTCGTGGTCGTCTTTGTCGTCGTCGTCGTGGTCGTGATCGTCGTTGCCGCTGTGGTCATCGTCGTCGTCGTGATCGTCGGTGTCGTTTTCGTCGTCGTCGTCGTTGTCGTCGTCGTCGTCGTCGTGGTCGTGGTCGTCGTCGTCGTGGTGGTCGTCGTTGTCGTGGTCGTGGTCGTCGTCGTCGCCGTCGTCGTGGTGGTCGTCTTCGTGGTCGTCGTCGTCTTCGTGGTCGTCGTCGTCGTGGTCGTCGTCGTTGTTGTCGTCGTTATCGGCGTCGTCGTCCTAGTGGTCGTCGCTGCGTCGCTGGACCGCGCCCGCGCTGCAGGAGCGGCGAGGCCCTCCGCAGCAGCTCGAGCCCCTCGCTGCCCCGCGGCGCCGCCGCCAGCCCGACGGGCTGGCCCGCCGCGCAGGGCTGCAGGCGCGCTGGCGCCCTTGGCGGGGCGACGCTTCTTCACCACGAGGGGGCCGTCCAGTGTTGGAGCCGGCGGGGGGCCTGCGGTGGCCCAGCGTTGGTTCCAGCGCGCAGGAGGAGGAGGAGGAGGAGGAGGAGGAGGAGGAGGAGGAGGAGGAGGAGGAGGAGGTAAGAAGCCCGAGGCTCGAGGGGCTGTTGTCGGAAAGGTTTTCTTGCCCCTTTCGGCCTCCCGGGGCCGCTTCTGGGCCCCGGGACCGTCAACAAATGGATCTAGGGTATCAATCTGCACTACCCCCGGAGGGGTCCAGGGACCGATTTGGCTTCATCTCCCCTCCTGCCCGTCTTTGGGGGGTCCCAACCAGTTCATACCCCCTGGCCGCCTCCAGCACAAGGCGCGCCAGGTCTCCACCAGGGGGTCCTCCGGTGGTGGTCTGTCCCAGAGCTCCGACGTGTTGTCAAGAAAAACGTGGAGATGTATTTCGGTAGAAAACCATGTGTGCCTTGTGTGTCCTCGTATATCCGACTTCAGAATGCGTTAGCGCGCGCGAGCGATTGGTAATCGATGGGAGGGTGCCGATTTAGAGTCGATGTGCGTCGATTTGGCGTCGATGCCGCGTCGATATAGTGTCGATTGAGTGTCGTTTAGCGTCGATCAGCATCGGACAGCGTCGCTTCGAAAGAGGCAGCAAGATGACATGGGAGAGTCCCATGAGTTGCCACCGAACATTCGGTGATGATCTGTCCGAGAGCTCCGACGGCTTGACAAAGAGAACGGATGAGGTTTTGCATCGTCTTCGGCGCCTGGGGTCCGTCGCCAGGCCCGGGGCCGTCAAAACACGCTCAGGGACGAAAACACACGGAAGTGGTCCACAGTTCTTGGGTCCCCGACGTCTAACATAAAGACATTTGGATCATCGCGAAAGGCCATGGTCAATATTGTGATGAAGGAAGAATTTGCTGGAGCATCTTTTTTTGGCGTTCAGCGCGGATTTCTTGCATCGGCGCTGGACCCCCCTGGCGGCGCCTCTGGCGTCGGGGGTCCAGCGCAGATCCAAAACATCCGCGCGGACCTCCAGAAGTATACTTGGTCGCTTTTTTGTTCCTCTGTTATTGGATCGACAAGCGTGGCGTTTAGACCCAGACCCCTCGCGTTGTGAAGAATCTGTGGCGGAAGGGTTTTCCCTATCTTCGTACTCTGGGGGCCCTTTACCAGGCCTTAAAGAAAAGCCGGTCCCCAGGAAGGAGTCCAGACAAGGAGTCCAGACCTCTGGGGGCCCACGTAGTACGACAAAAACAGGGTGTCGAGGATCTGTGGACAGGATCTCGCTCTCGAGAGGTCCAGAAGTCGACCTTTCTTGCTTCGCGGAAGGCGGCAGAAGCAAAGAGAGGACGGCTCCGCCAGCGGGAGCAAGCGGAGACGACGGATGAATTTCCAAGCAGCGGATGTGAAGGATGAACTTCCAGGAGGTATCAACATGTGCACGACGGCATAAAACGGGGTCGATTGCGCCGACATCCGCGCGACGCTGCCCGCGTAAGGTCGCGCGTAAGTGCCCTCGATTCCAAAGTGGCGTGCGGCGCTGGCGGCCCGAGTAGGCAACCGCGTAAAGTCGCTATGTCATCTCGCGTTGGAGCCCTTTTTTCGTCGCTCATTTGGTGTTCCAGAATTCTTGAAGCGGGACGTGACTAAGAGGGAAAATGGGGCCCTGAGAGAAACGGAGTAGGAGTTGTTGTTTTGGCCCCCGTGGCCCTTGCAAAGCCCCTGGGGCCGTCAGAGAACGGCTCAGCGTGACACGCGCAGGTCTCAGGGAGAAACCCTGGGTTGGGTCCAGCACCCGTCTTCTTTTGTGGCTTTTTCTCTCATGTTTGGTGCGCGCGTGTCTGTTTGAGAAGGGGGGGCAGGGCAGCCGACGACCATGAGCTTCTCCTAAATGTTGAAAACGACCCACGCTGCATCCTTGAATCCGTTCCAAATTTTGAAAAATGCGCGCGTCGCTAAGATGAAAAAACAATGCTCAAAACGGCACGCCCTCCAGCCTTGACACCGTGGCAAGTTCCAAACTCCACTGCCATAAGTGGGGAGTAACGGCAGACGCCCAACCAGCCCTACTGACCCTGAGGGGCTGTGACAGGGAGAGGTTACTTACAAGGAAAAGGGGTGGAGGGACGGGGACTGCAAGGAGAGGCCCAGAGGAGAAGAGGAGGAGGAGGAGCAGGAGGAGGAGCAGGAGGACGGATCACGACGAGGACGGAGCGCGGCAGGCAAACTGGCGGAGGAATTTGAGGAGCGTGGGCCGGCGGGACAGCGGGAAGGGTGGGGAAGGAGGAGGGGCAGGACGGGGACTGGAGGAGCTGCAGGAGGAGGAGGAGGAGGCACGAGGAGCAAGTATGAGGCAGGAATAGCTTCCCTTCGTTCAGGATCGTTTAACCGATCCCCATCCACATCCCCATCTCCATCCAGACCCCCAACATCTCAGCACCCTAGTTGGGGATACACCCTTCGAAACCCGAAGGAATCCGCCTATATCCCAATCTAGGGCATTAAATTGGCCAGTGGGGCCTAGCCCATAGGTGCTGATGGCGATGGGGATCGGTTAAACGATGCTGATTCATCTCGCTGCCCGAGCTGCAGGAGGAGGAGGAAGAGGAGGCACGAGTAGGAGGGATGAGGCAGGAATAGGCCCGAGGAGGAGGAGGAGGAGGAGGAGGAGGCACGAGGAGGAGGGAGGCACGAGGAGGAGGGATGAGGCTCCCCTTCATCCCGCCCCCGGCGCAGGCAGGCGCGGCCGGCGGAGGCCGAGCTTCCCCGTGCGGCCAGCACGGGGGGCGGCAGGCTCGTGCGTGCCCGTGAGGACGCCCGTGTCACCGGAGAGGAGGAGGAGGAGGAGGAGGAGGAGGAGGAGGAGGAGGAGGAGGAGTTGGAGGGAGGAGGAGAGGAGGAGGAGGGGAGGAGGGGATGATGGGGAGTATGGGGAGGAGGGAGGAGGAGGCGGGGAGGGGGTAGGAGGAGGGAGAAGGAAAAGGAAGAAGGATAGGAGGGTGGAGGATATGATGAGGAGGAGGAGGAGGTTGATGAGGAGGTGGGGGAGTGAGAGAAGGATGAGGAGGGAGGAGGAGGAGGAGGAGGGAGGATATGAGGAGATAGGAAGATGGAGGATGAGGGAGGATAGGTGGATATAGGAGGAGGATGAAGGAGGAGGAGAGGAGGACGAGGACGAGGACGAGGAGGAGGAGAGGCGGATGAGGAGGGGGGAGGAGGAGGAGAGAGGTAGAGGAGGAGGGGGGGTAGGAGGTTGGAGGAGGAGAAGGAGGGAGGACAGGATGCGGCGGAGAAGGAGGAGAGAGGAGGAGGAAGAGGAGGAGGAGGAGGAGGAGAGGAGGAGGAGGCGGAGGAGGAGGATGAGGAGGAGGAGGCAGGAAGAGGAGAAGGAGATGGAGGAGGGAGGAGGAGGAGAGAGGCGAAGTGAGGATAGGCGAAAGAGGCGGAAAGCAGCAGTGGGGGAGCTGGTTTGGTGATTTGGCCTGATTGTTGCGGTGCGACCTGGCACCGTCGCTGTGAAATGCACGTGGCTCTTTTCCTCCTTGATTCCGTGTTCCTTGCCTTGGTGTCTAACCCTCGTGTTCTCAACGCAGGAGCCAACGAGAGGCCCTCGGGTAGGAGCAGGATGAGGAGGAGGAGGAGGAGGAGAAGGAGGGGAGGAGGGAGGAGGAGGAGGAGGAGGAGGAGGACGAGAAGGAGGAGGAGGGGGAGGAGAAGGAGGAGGAGGAGGGGGAGGAGGAGGAAGAAGAAGAAGAAGGAGGAGGAGGTGGAGGAGGAGGGATGAGGTGGCAGGAGTGGGAGGAGGGGGGGACAAGGGAGGATGGGAGAGGCTCTCGCCAAGCTTCTTGCTTCTTCCAGATGACACTGATTGTTTGGCCCACGGTTTCCGAAAGCGCCTGTCGACTTCTTGATCTTCACGGGGGGGGTGCGAGGGGACAGGAGGAGGAGGATGATGATGATGATGATGAGGAGGAGGAGGAGGAGGAGGAGGAGGAGGAGGAACAGTGTTGATGATGTGTGGCGTGTTGGGTCATCTTCTGTGGCCGTTGTTTCCACGGCTGGACCCGCCTCGAAATCCGATTCAGAACGCGCCCCAGGATTGGCCCTGAAGGGAGGGTGGGGTCCATGGGGAGGAGGAGCAGGATGATGATGAGGAGAGAAAGGGAGGAAGCAGCAAGCGCTTCCGAACTGTTTCACGTCTGTTGATTGTTGGCCTGATGGGTTCTACTGTGTATGCTGAGTTTGCTGGTTCGTCCTGGGAGGATGGATGCGGTTGGCGGTGCAGGGAGAGGATGGTGGACGACGGGGGAGGGTGAGAAGAGGGAAATGGGACGACGAGGCGGGATGAGTAGATTTCGATGGGGAGGGATGCGGAGGCGTACGTAGGAGGAGGAGGGGAAGGAGGAGGAGGAAGAGGAGGAGGAGGAGGAGGAGGAGGGCTGGGTGATGCTGAGCAGGACCTTGGAGGGGAAGGGGGAGGGGGGGAGCGGGAAGAGGAGGAAAAGGAGGAGGAGGACGACGAGGAGGAGAGGAGGAGGAGAGGAGGGGGGGGGAAGAGAGAGGGGAGGAGAGAGGGGGAGGAGTGAGGAGGAGGAGGAGGGAGGAGGAGGAGGAGGAGAGGAAGGAGGAGGAGAAGGAGGAGAAGGAGGAGGAGGAGGCGGAGGTGGGGGGGGGAGGGGGAGGAGGATGAGAGGAGGAGGAGGAGGAGGAGAAGGAGGAGGAGGCGGAAATCCGCTTGAGAAGGATGATGAGGAAGAGGAGGAGATCCCCAGGGCCAGTTTTTCCAAACAACAAAGCACTGTCAGATTCGGGACCGAAGTGCTTTGTATGTGCAAAGGCTAATTGTTTTACTCATGCTCCACTTTTTTTTAAGGTAGGAGCCCATGGCGGCCCATTGGCGGTGATACAACAACATCTGGGATAGAAACGTTCGGCCTGGGCGCGCAAGGTGTAGGAGAAAGATGATTCCTTTGGAAATCGGCAGGATGCCTTAGGATATTCGTGGGAATCTCTGGAAAACCATAAGATTCTTGAAGACAGTCATAGAACTCCTTACCAAACCAATCGACTTCCTTAGAAAATCCATGAGATCCCGAAGGAAACCCATGGGAATCCTTAGGACACGCATGGGAGTCCGCCGGGCATCTACCAGAATCCTTAGGACATCAATGAGATTCATTCGGGAGTCCATCATATTCCTTAAGAAGTGCAACGGGTTCCAGAGGAAACCCACTGGATTCAGTCGGACATGCATGAGAGTCTTTATGACATCAATGCGAGCCTTTCTATGAAAATCAACAGATTCCTCAGGCAATCCAAATGACCCCTATTGGATCCCTTGGGAAGCCCATCGGATTCCGGAGGACCTCTATTGGGTTCCTTAGGAAATCCATAACACAATCCTGCGACATCCAGTGGATCCCGTAGGAAATCCATGGGCGTCCGTCGGGAATCTATAGGATCCCTTAGGCCATCCATGCGGTTCCGTAGCAAGTCCATGGGATACCTCAGGCAATCTATATGAACCCGTTGGGAATTCATCGGGATCATTAGGAACTCCATGATATTGAATATACCCACGTGATTCTTCAAGAAAGAGGAAGGCTCAGGAGGAAGACAAGGAGGAGGAGGAGGAGGAGGAGGAGGAGAAGGAGGAGGAGGAGAAGGAGGAGGAGGAGGGAGGGGAGGCATGATGAGGATTGCCAAGGCTGTCTCTTAGGACACGTGTAAAGTATTACCATGCTCGTGCCCTACGGATTGTTATGATCCAAGTGGGTCTGGCGGAGGAGAAGGAGGAGGCGGACGAGGAGGAGGGGGAGGAGCAGGACGTCCAGCACCGAGGAGGCCATCTTCCTGGAGGTACAGAGCCCCCCCCCACCCGCCTGGAGGCCCCCTCGGAGGTCCCAGAGGCGCCAACAGAGCGCAAATACAGCGGGCGTTCGGTGGCACATTCTGGGAGCCTTGCGCAGCGAACCCGTATAATGTGATGGGCCAGCTGTCCACCACCACCACAGGTCGGACGGGGGAGAAGGGAGGACGAGGAGGTTCTACTCCTCCTCCTCCTCCTCCTTCCTCCTCCTCCTCCTCCTCCTCCTCCAACACCAGCACCGACGCCAGCACCGTCGCCAGCACGTATGCCGGCGCTTGCGCCTGCACCAACACCAGTGCCTACACCAGCACCACTGTCATCACCGTTGCCAGCACGAACGCCGACGTCGACACCAGCACCGACGCCAACGCTTACACCAGCGCCGACGCCAGCACTGACGCCAGCACGAACACCGGCGCCTGCGCCGCCACCAACGCCAGCGCCTACACCAGCACCGAGGTCAGCACCGACGTCAGCACCAACGCCGATGCCTACATCAGCACCGGCGCAAGCACCAACGCCAGCAGGAACGCCTGCGATTGTAGCGGCACCAACGCCAGCGCCTAGGCCTACACCAGCGCCGACGCCAGCACTGATGCCAGCACGAACGCCGGCGCCTGCGCTGGCACCAACGCCAGCGCCTATACCAGCACCGATGTCATCCCCGTCGCCAGCACCAACGCCGACGCCTACAGCATAACCGACGCCAGCACCGACGCCAGCACAGACGACGGCGCTTACGCCAGCGGCGGAGTCAGCATCGCCACCAGCATACATCAGCGCCGACACCAGCACTGACGCCAGCACGAACGCCATGCTGCTCGGCAGCGGAAACGCCGACGCTGGGCAGCACGACTCTGTCGAGCATGGCGGATTGCAGCAGTACGCCGATGAGCAGACAGGCGAGGGCAGCGCCCGAGTCAGCTATCCTACCTGCCAGGCAGCTCGCCAGCAGCACCAAACCCCAGCAGCGCCGTGCAACCCCAGGCTCCCATCAGGATCTGCCCTCAGGAGCGGTGGTCGTGCCCGTGGCTACGCCGTGCACTACGGGTTCTTGCCGCACGACTTTGGGCGGTTCGATGGGTACCAGCCGCACGACCTGGCGCAGCACGGATTCGGGATGAAGTTCTGAGGTGGGTGTCACACTGGCGATCCAGGCAGGCCGGACGAAGAGTCCCAGGCTATCTGGGCGGCTGGAGGCCGGGACGCGCGGCGCGAGCATTCACTGGCCTCGGGTTTGCCCCCTCCCCCTCTTCCTTCTTTGTGCCGGCAATAGCGTGCCTCGGTGGCCTCAGCATCGGCCACGCGGCCGGGACGGCAGGTGGCCATCGGAGCGGTTGGCTGCCCATTGGCGCCGCCCTCGCGCTGGCGTCCCTGTTGGCGGCCTCAGCTTTCGCACAGGGCAGTTTGTTGGCGTTGCTAGAGTGTTCATTCATACTGCTTGCTGAGGAATGGTAGTTGGGCGTTGTTCAGTTCCCCGCCCCTCGCCTCCCTGGTTCTCTCTCTCTTTTTTTTTGTTCTCTCTCTCTCTCTCTCTCTCTCTTTCGCCCCCTGGTGCATGCCCAAGTGTTCTGAGTTTTTTGTAATTTCGTCGTGCGTCCGCGGGCCAGCCCGCGCGTGCTAGGTTCTGCTCCGGGCGTGCACGCCTGCGGGGCCTGGGGGCCCTGCACGTTACAGCCATACTAGAAACTTTAGTGACTGTTGGGTGCGGCGCTGCGCTCCCTGCGGTACTTCGCTGTGTACTGTAGTTATGTTTGTATAGTCTGATTGGTTGTAGACTGCAGGTTCAGTGGGAGGGGGTGTGGGCTCAGGTAGCCATTTTGGGTCCGTAGCGTTCGGCTCTGGCCGACGCGCGGGTGTTCCGGGGGGCCGCGGGGCGGCCACAACCACAGCCGTGCTAGTCCGCGGACTAGGTGGCGCGCCTGTGGTGCCATGGCTGTGGG